GGGTGACTCTGGTAATTGCGCCACGACCCTTAATTTCACGCGATAAAACGAGCGAAAACAATTTGCAACGAAAGAAGTAACTATCTCACTTATTAATGTTTTTTTTATCGTCTCCTTTGTAGACGATTCAGTAAATGTATTTTCACATTTCGTCACGCCAAGTTAACATAAACGTCACTAAACGTTATTCTTAGCGTGTCCCATAATCCTTTGGGGAAAATGTGTTGCTTTTTCTACCTCCTTTTTTTCAATTTGTATTTTGGATTTGAAAGATTATGAAGTTATTTATGGACGGAGCTGTGAGGTTTTGCCTTTGTGGGTATATGGCGAATAAATCTTTCATATCATTCCTGAGTGAAATGTTTTAGATTCTTTCGTAAGGTATTTTGACACATGTCTATGATTTATATAGAAATAAGAGAATTGTGAAGACTAAGTTATCTTTCCTTTGTATTTATATTTGCTTTTTGTTTTTTGTTTTTGTTCTGTCAATTTTCTAGAAGCAACATAACTAAGGGTCATTTCTATTGGCAGTTGATGATTCTGATGATTTTTTTCATTAATGATTATTCTGATAAAAAGACAGGTAGATGATAGAAAAATAAATTATAAGCCTATTTATATATAATAAGAAAATATTATTTGTATAAATTATTTCCATACACTACCGAAGAAAAGAATACATTCGTCTTGAATAACTGGAAGTCAGTATAAAAAAAAATCTTAGGATAAGTCCACGCGTTTCGTAAAATAAACCAAAAAAAAAAAAAAAAAAAAAAAAAAAAAAAAAAAAAAAATCTTGCTTTTCAGGTTACATGTCCACGATTTGATCCGTCTGCATTGTGCTTTTGCGTGGATTACTGAGAAAGAAAATTTATTAAAATCTCGCTTTTTTCTGTTCTTTGCTTCCGTGTTTCATTTTTGCTTCGTTGTTTTTTTGAACATGTTACGTGTTTGCTAATACTTTCCTTTGTCTCTATTTTGTCTGCATTTTTTTCTTCTTCTTCTTTCTTCTTCTTCTTCTTCTCTCCTCCCTCCTCCTCCTTTCTTCTTCTTCTTCTTCTTTCTTCTTTCTTCTTCTCCTAACCTCATCCTTCCTCTCTCCGCCCAGATCTGCTGATAAGGCGAGCTATGCGCGCGCAGGAGGGACGCCCTCGTTGGACGACCCCTCGCGGATATGTTACCTGTGGCAGGTCGGGGACAAGGGCTCGGGTCCCTCTGCCTCACTCAGGACGCGGCCTACGCGAGGGACGGCGAGAGTTACCAGTGCGACGGTTGCACTGAGAAGGTGAGGGCGAGGCTTTTTTGTTTTTTTTTTTTTTTTTTTTTCTTTTTTCTTTTTTTTTGGTTCTTCTTTTTCATTTATTTATATTTCATTTATTTTGTATTTATTTATTTATTTATTATTTTTTATTTGTTTGTTTCTTATTTTTTATTTTTCTATTTATCTATCTTTTTATTTTTTTTTCTAATTTCATTTTTTTTTTTCTGTTTTTTATCATCTTGGGCCTGTTTTCTGTTTATTTCTGGCTCTCTGGTTATTTATTTCTGTCTGTTTGTGTCTGTTCTTTTGTTTTTGTCTCTTATTCTTGGGATGTTTCAGTTTTATTTCTTTCTATCTGTGGTTATTTATTTTTGTTTGTGGTCTGTGTCTGGTCTCTTTATTTGTTTCTATCTGTTTGGTTATCTCTGTCTCTTTATCTCTTTCTCTTTTTCTCTTTTTCTCTTTTCTTTTTTTTTTTCGCTTTTTCTCTTTTCTCTTTTTCTCTTTTTTTCTCTTTCTTCTTTTTCTCTTTTTCTCTCGTTCTCTCTTTCTCTTTCTCTTTTTCTCTCTTTCTCTCTTTCTGTCTCTCTCTCTCTTTCTCTCTTTCTCTCTTTTTCTCTTTCTCTCTCTCTCCCTCTCTCTCCTCTCTTTCTCTTTCTCTCTTTCTCTCTTTTCTCTCTTTCTCTCTTATTCTTTCTCTCTCTCTCTCTCTCTCTCTCTCTCTCTCTCTCTCTCTCTCTCTCTCTCTCTCTCTCTCTCTCTCTCATCTCTCTCTCTCTTCTCTCTTCTCTCTCTCTCTCTCTCTCTGATTGAAATAATTGATGTTTATGTGACAGAAGAGATTTTTCTGACGAAAAGCATACATATATATACATGAATAAAAAAAGATGATAATGGAGTGAAAATCAAATTAATCAAAATTTTCAGATTCACATCTTCGAGTTTGATAAACTGGATGATCTAAGATTCACCGTGAAGAGACACTTGTTCGAGGTAAGTTTAATCTAAGTTCAGACAGAATTGAACATAAAGTGAAATACAAAATCAAGACATTTATGAATACAATCTCTGAGTTTTTAGCGTTGTTACTAGAGCTTTGAGTATTTAGTTTATTATTTTTTTGTGTGTGTGTGTGTGTTTAGCATTGTTACTAGTTATAATAATCACTAATATGATTCTTGTATCATTTGTATAATTATAATTATAATTCGTGGGCACTAGATCTATAATATTTAT